CTCCTGTTTCATGGCATCAGACACCCTCTTCTGGCTCTCTGAGCACTAGGCATGCACATACATACATGTAAGCACAATACTCATATACATTGAATAAAATAAAAATAATTTAAGGTAACTACAGATGTCATTGTACCTAACAGCAAAACTTGTCACTAGTTACTCTAAAAGTGTTGTAACTTTAAAAAATGGCTTGCAAGAGAAAGTCTCCATACAACAGAGCTTAGGTGGAGGGTTTTTTTTTTTTTGGTGGGGGGAGTAAATGGAAAAAGGGGCATGGGAAAGGGGAGACTGGCCTCTGGGGAGAGGAGTGGCAGAAGAGAAGAGAGAGAGAGACAGAGGGGGCAGAGAGAGAGAGAGAGAGAGAGAGAGAGAGAGAGAGAGAGAGATCGGAGGTGGGCAAGGCCCTTTGGGGAGGGAACATAGGGAATGTGCACAGGTGGTGCTCTTAGTGGCTGCAGCTGAGGGCATATCCTGTCAGAACCCCAAGGACAGGCCAGTACAGATGCCTGAATACTAACAAAAGTACCATAACTGATTTGTCTCTTCTGTAATCTATGTTCCCTGACAAGAGGTAGGGAATATCCTTCCACTTTCTTGAATTTGGACTAATCTGCTTCTGCTCTATGAAAAAAAAAATGTGTCTACACACTTCAAAGGCTAGAAGTTTTTGTTATTAAAATCAGTGGAGCAAAGTATTTCAGGGGAAGGGAGGAAAGGAAGGAATGGAGTAAAAGAAAGTGAGGTGAGAAAACAGAAGAGAGAGAACAAGCTTTCCTCAGCATATTGGGTGAATTCTGCACTGCAGTTAGTCACAGCAAGGTGTTATCTATGTGAATCTTGGCTTTCCCACAAAGTAAATATCACTAAACAAACCCCAGTTGTCATCACAAAGCACAGAAATCTTGCATTCTAAGCTGTACCTTCATTCATATCTGATATACAAAACTGTAAATAATTACTATCTACTCTTAAACCTCAAACTTTGGCTTAGTTTGTTTTAAGGAGTAGGTCACTTAAGCAATTTCAGTCCAAGTTAAAATTTCTCCATGTGGTGTACCAATACTTTGCTGCTATTGATATGTCTAAGCCTGATGTAAATTATAATTCTAAGCCATGACTGTGATGCATTGTATCCATGATAACAAAAACTTTCATGTTTTATTATCTAATTTGTTAAAGTTATATGATATGGTGGTATGATATAATACTTCTGCATAAAGTGCTGATTTGGGCACATATTAATAAAACTGTCTGTACCACATAGGTGAGATCCAAAAAGATTAATTACTTAGCAGAAAAAATCAGGTCTTCAGATTTCTGGAACTTCTCTTTCACTTATTCCAGTTTCAGTTATTCCTTAAGAGACTTATAGCATGAATCACACTACTTTACATGTGTTAGGATTGGAACTATGGGTAAAGACATTTTCATTCACTCCTCATTTTTCATTCTTGGGAGGTATTTATATCTCAAATGTTCCCTACTACATCTCTGTTTCCTGGCCCCACAAATATCCTCTTGATATATCTCTCTCAATCTACCAAACACCACAGTGAGCTCTTATTTCAAGCCTAACTCAATTGGATTTATATCTAGAACTCATGATACTAAAATATGGCATGTAAACAAAAGTTGTTGAAATTCTTTTACTAATAAAGTTACATGATGATTAAGTGATCAAATTATTCGTGCATAGCCATGTGCAAGTTAAAAATCCTGTAACATAACATTTGAGCTCAGACCATGAAAATCTACTCCACTATATGTAAAACAAAAGACAATGATTTTATGCTGAAGTATATTATATTGCAATATAATAAACTACTATTCTAAACCCAGTTCCAGAGATAATTTGATTATGTGATCACTGGATGGAGGATTCAAAAATGCCCTAAAGCTCAAGTTAACTTTAAGTGAACAAAGCCTTGCAGAGCTACAAAGTAATGCCATATAAATTGGCTTTCAAAGGCCAACAAGAGCAGTGTTTGCCTTTTGGATTACATTAGATTATCCTGAAACAGCAATTAAATCTTTGAAGGTTGTAACACTATTTTTACTTTATCAAAATGGCATGAAATTTTGAAAAGGAAAACCATGATTTTATGTATTATATTGGCCCATGCCAAGTAGCCAATGTTCAATTTTTTGGTATACAGAATTGTCAAATATTGAATTAATGATAGCAGATTTAGTTCACAGATGTTAAGTACTTTATGACTCATCTGTTTCTATTTTTGCCATTTTATTAGTTTCCTATAGCTGCAGGTAAAAAAGTATTAAAAAGTGTTTTAAAACAATGGGATTTTATTCCCTCATAACTTTGGAACTTATAGGCTCCAAATCAAAGTATTAATAAGGTGTTTCCAAGCGGAAAGCCATATCGCTCCTTTCTTGAACCCTGCTGTGGTAAGACAGGCTTGCCCATTGTTGACATGCAGGTTCTTCTGCATCCTGTAGCTTGTGGGATTCTCTATATGTGTCTTTGTGTTTCTGCACCTGAATATTTTCTTTTATAAAAACATCAATTATTGTACTACTCTGGCCACATTTTAACTTCATTCTATCTGTAAAGACTACATTTTCAAGTACGGTCACATTATAGATGCTGTAGATTAGGACATAAACATGCAATGTGCTTTAGTTTCAGTCTCCTCATGTCCTTTGCATTATGCACTTGGGACCTGTATTCAAAGTCTCAACATGGCTGTCATCTTTTCCTGACTCTTCTATGAAGATTCCCTATCCTACCTTAGCACCATTCCCACCCTCAGACACTGAGTAAAGAGGAATTCAAAAAACCTACCAATCTCCCCAATACCTTGACATCAGAAACAGTGTACACCTAAACACCAAATGTCTTGTGGAAGGGATAGAGTTCCAGCCACAGTTCTACTCCCCAAGAGATGTTCCAGTTGTTGTGTACATTCTAATTGATTGGGAGTTGTATCTGAAGCATGCCACCTAAACACTGGGCAATCCCAAACAATACCTATTTGTAAAAGAAAAACTGTTTTGTTGTCCTTGCTGTTTTCTCTACTCTTCTGTGAGGAAAATTGTAGGTTTGGGGTTTACAAAGATCTGCTTAGCTCAAAACTTTCAGCCTTATTTTGTTGGAGTAGCCCATGAAGACATGGGGACTGGAGGGAGCTGGAAAAATAGAACACATCCATTTTTTTAAATCTTGACATCCAAAATAAGGTTTTAAATTCCACATTGTACAAGATAGGGAGACGGTGTTTTATGAGAAAGGCACATTGAGTTACATGACAGCTTGAAAGATGATCCATACTTTCCAACCAAGATGTCACACACTAGCTTTCTAGGTTGAATAATATGGCAGTAGCGTTTGATATAATTTGCTCTTTCCAAGTGATAAAGAAATATTAAACAAAATATTTTACCTATTCATATTTGGAAAGTGGTGTGCTTACATATTTGCATGTCTTAGATTATAAGGATTATTAATATTTTGTAAAATATTAGGTCACTTCTCTTTGTTTCGAAGCCTCTATAATGCCCTTATGCTTAGCTTGTCATTTTCCAACATAATTTGAGATAACTTTCCAATCCTCCATATATTTCTTAATTCATATTTATTGTGGTCTGAATAAATAATTGAATTATACTGTTGTTTTCCAAAACTATTTAAATTAATTTAGCTATTATATAACCACTTTGCCTAGTTTAGGTAAATTCCGATGTTATGCTTAATAGTTAGGTCATATAGCATTTTGAAGAAACTTTTCAAGTCTATTTTAAGTGATGGATAATAACTTGTAACATGAGTAAACAAAGAATGAGATATGACAATAAAAATGAAACTGAATATTGAAATAAGCCCAAAAAGGTTCGTTAGTATACTTAAATTCAATATGTATAGAATTTCCATAATTATTTTTAAAAATAATTATGTGGAGCTGAGATCCACATCATAAAAACCAATAAAATATTTGCTATTTAGAAGAATATATTTTGTATACTTAAAAATTACTTCATATATTGAGCCATTGTGCACAGGTGTGATATAAAAAGTACAATATTGTTCCTCACAGGCACCTTAAAAGGCTCACTATATGGCACATTGCATAGCTGAAAACTCTTCTGTTTTGATTTCTGTTTTTTTAAATTTGTTTGTAGCAATCATGAACTCATGAGTTTTCTTTAGACATGACTCAAGTTTAGAACTGATATTCTCAGATAAACTAAAACTATAAAGCTAAATGACTTTAGTTTACCTGATTCTTTATTAAGAGAATATATCTTAGTATTTGCATGCCCCTGATTAGATAAGAATCTTTTGACAATTCCAGTTAATCATCTGAAGAACTCTGAAGCTCCCTGCTCCCATGTAATTAACTTAATTTCAGAAAAATTGGAGGAAGCTATTATTTGTCCCAGAATATGAATACCTTTTCATCCTCTAAGCAAAAGGATCTTTAGAGTATATTTTAATCTTATTTGCTTTTGCTCATATTGAAAACATTACTAGGAGGAAATAATGCTTAACTAAAGATCTGAAGAGGTTTATCGAGATCTCATTTTCCAATTAATTTATCAAAACTTAATTATTAATTACTATGTATAAAGCAAATCTGACTTTAGATCCATATATATTTCTTTTATTCTTCACAGCCACTTCTTTCCAACATTTGAAAACTGAACTATTACTTAAATTAACTGATTTTATGTATTTCTAAATATATTCATGTATTTAAAAAACATTAATGATTCCTTAATGTCTCAGGAATAATATATATTAAATTTTGGTGAAAAATCTTATTTATCAAGAAATGCCGTTGGGATTTTCTTAAACTGACAGCATCACCAAATACGTATTATATATCATTTAAATGTATGTGTGCTTTTCATTAGTATTTCGAAATAACATGTCTTCTTCCAGATACATCATGTTGTATAATTGCCTTACTATTTTTATTTGTCTGACAGAATTTATAATGACATTTTTATGTATACCTGATTTTCTTTCTTATACTCAGGTTCTTTCTTTGGGAGCAGATGTCTTGCCAGAATACAAGCTGCAGACACCGCGCATCAACAAATTTACAATACTGCACTACAGCCCTTTCAAAGCAGTCTGGGATTGGCTTATTTTACTATTGGTCATTTATACTGCTATATTCACCCCCTACTCTGCAGCCTTTCTTCTCAACGACAGAGAAGAACAGAAAAGGCGAGAATGTGGCTATTCTTGTAGCCCTTTGAATGTGGTAGACTTGATTGTGGATATTATGTTTATTATAGACATTCTAATAAACTTCAGAACAACCTATGTAAATCAGAATGAAGAAGTGGTAAGTGATCCTGCCAAAATAGCAATACACTACTTCAAAGGCTGGTTCCTGATTGACATGGTTGCAGCCATCCCTTTTGACTTGCTGATATTTGGATCAGGTTCTGATGAGGTAAGAGCTGCTTAAGAATTTTATTTTCTGTAAGACTGCAATTGTAAAAGTAAATCTACATTAACTAGAAGAAACAATAGTTGCTTCAAAAGTTGCCACATCTCACAGATGAAGCACATTTTCACCTGGAAATATAAAATGAAATGAAGGCATTTTCTGTTGCAAATAATTGAAATTCCTCCTATATCTGCTAAGAGATGCAAAGATACTATCCATGCTGTAGCTAAGAACTTAAGTTTTGAAACACATGCACAGAGCATCCAGCATATCCCTATTGAGTAAAATCCCTACAGATTAAATTTTTGAGGGAAAAGCTATCAAACATTAAAGATGTCTTCATTCTTAAATCACTAATTGGGGTGTAGACTGAAGAAAGACTTGTTCTTTGTTCCAACTATAAAAAAGAGGGCACTTTATGAAATGCCTTTATCAAAACTCACTTCTATCTCTCATTTTGGGAAATACTTAATGTATATTTCTAATATATTATAAAGTTGAGAACCTTAAGAAAAAAATGACAAGTTAATGTATATTGGGTACATTTTCTGAATAGAGGGTCCATAAACATAATCAGATCTTCAAAATATCTTTGGGACAGATTCAGTTAGTGTCTGCTTTATTTAATTATCAGTAGTTGTTAAAGTATATAAGTATTTATATCATGAAAATATTTACAGAAGGTATGTGTCTTAAGTTTCCTTTCTAGGGCTCTGATAAAATACCAGGACAAAAAACAAGTTAGAGGATAACGGGTTTATTTTACCTTACAAGGCCAGGTCCTAGTCTATCAGTGTGGGAAAGTCAAGACATCAGGAACTTGTAGCAGCTGGTCTAAGCCACAGCCAAGAACACAGAGAGAATGAGTGCATGAATCCTTACTGCGCAATTGCTTTATCTACACATGTACAATTTCAGACCCAAACCCTGAGAATGTGGTCAAACACTTTAGGCTGGGTCTTCCCATGTCTATAAATACATTCATAAGAATTCCCCTACAGACATCCCACAAACCATTTAGATAAACCTCGTTGACACTTTCTAGATTTTGTCAAGTTGACAATTTAACAATTAAAACAAACCATAGTGGTACATAGAAAAGTAACTCCAAGAAAGTTGACTGAAAAAGATAACTCAATGTGCTGAAATTAAAAATCAAAATCAGTGTCCTTTTCTGCATAAGAATTTCTCATTATCTTTTGTTGGTTTGTTAATTTGTACATTTCGAGAGAAAAAAGAGATCTCAACAGATACTTGCTTCTTAACCACTGAAGTCTTCAGGGCAAAAGAATCCTTGTCTTCCAGGGGGAAGAAGCATCAGTGTGTGTAGAATTAAGTTTACCGAAAGACTCATCAATCTGTAAGTTAGGAGAGCTCAGGACAATGGATTATGACAGGGTCCCAGACCCTTTCATTATCTGTAAAAGAATGCTAATGAAATTGTCTTCCTTGGTAATTTGATATTTTATTTGGCACTAAATGAAATAACACATATGAAATGAAAGAAAAAATAGTTGTTAAAGATCTTCTAAGGTGATTCCTAATTTGAGTTATAACTAAAAGACATTATAAAACATTTTATCATTGATATTTATCTTTGATTTTTAAAATAAATTTTTATTTAAATTAAAAACAATCTTATTTTACATATAAATCCCAGTTCCCTCTCCCTCCCATCCTCCTGTGCCCACCACCAACCCCCCATCCCATTAGGGATTATCAAATTCTGACACATCATTTGGGACAGGACCTCCCTCCTGTACCCAGGCTAAGAGAGTATCCCTCCATAGGGAATGGGCTACCAAAGCTCATTCCTGCATTAAATGCTGGTTCCACTGCCAGAGGCCGCATAGACTGCCCAGGCCTCCCTACTGACACCCACGTTCAGGGGCCTTTTTCGGTCCTATGCTGGTTCCCCAGCTGTCAGACTGGGATCGGTGAATTTACAATCGCTCAGGCCAGCTGTCTCATATAGCAGGGATTACATGCAGTTATATTACACAAACTTCTCCTGATAAACTGTAGAAAAAAACTTCAGTTTCAAAGGTGTGAATAAAAAAGAGAGACAAAGAAACACACACACAGAGAGAGAGAGAGAGAGAGAGAGAGAGAGAGAGAGAGAGAGAGAGAGTAAATTAACTATATACACATATTGACAGTGAATCAAACTTTGGAAGTCAAATGAATATGCAAATAGAATATTAGAAAAACTTAATATACTTATGATATTCAATCAATAATAATCAAAATAAAAGATATTTAGAAATTCTAAGTACAGCCATCAAGGTAGAATTAAATGCTAGATTATTTTAATTTCAGTTACTACACATTTTAAAATGTAAAATTCCTTTCAAATATGTAATTCAAATAATCACTGCTACAACAAGACTGTTGTAAAGCAAGAGAGAGTTTAAAAGATTCACATCAGTATATGGTGAAATAGTCTAAGGAAAAAGAGGGTGAAAAAGAAAACTAAAAAACTTGACTGAAACTTACAGAGTGGGGAAATAGCTGGAAAGATTAATGGATATGCAATTTTTGCTTTTAAATATGTAAATTACCAGCAGGACACTGAAAACTTATTTAGGAAATGTAAAGTTTTGTTGCTGAAGACCCTTCTAGGTATCATAGTGTCTACTGACCTCATTCTACTAAGAAGTAACATTAAAATCTAATACTGGCCGGGCATTGGTGGCGCATGCATTTAATCCCAGCACTCGGGAGGCAGAGGCAGGCGGATCTCTGTGAGTTCGAGGCCAGCCTGGTCTCCAGAGCGAGTGCTAGGATAGGCTCCAAAGCTACACAGAGAAACACTGTCTCAAAAACAAAAAAGAAAAAAAAATCTAATACTGTGTTTACTGTACATGTTTTTTAAGTAGAATTAACTGCAAAAAAATATTTCATCTGATGCCATGCCTGGGAAGTTTAATTATTATTCCAGTTTTGTACAACAGGCCATTAACTGGCCTCCCTGGTTCTATGTTTTACATTGTTCCTATTCAGTAGCAATATAATATACCTCATGCATCACCAAATGTTTGCTGAGTAGCCTTAAAAGCAACAGGCATTGTTATAGATTAAGAAATCAAAGAGATAGATAAGTTTCTACTCTAGAGTCAGGCAATGGTGGAGCACACCTTTAATCCCAGCACTGGGGAGGTAGAGGCAGGAGGATCTCTGTGAGTTCAATACCAGCCTGGTCTACAAGAACAAGTTCCCCGACAGCCTCCTAAGCCACAGAGAATCCCTACCTCGAAAAACATAAACCAAAAGAAAAAGTTTCTAATCTACATTCTCATAAAAGATCAAATACTAAAATGACTCAAATTGGGTGGAAAGAACAATATGTGATTGGCTAACATAGACTGAGAGACTAGAAAAGACCACTAAGAGGGTCATTTAAGCTTTGACATGTAAGAAATTTCCAGCCATATGACACTACAAAACACTTCAAACCAAAGGGAAGAGTTATAGCATATCCTCTGTTGACTATCATGTTTGGAATGTTAGATGAATAGAAAAATGCCAATGGCAGCAAGGCTGAATCAAAGTCAAGATGAGGTGCTAAGATATGAGAACTAAATCACAAAGAATCATGAGATCTGTTTATTATGGCTTTAACAAGATTCTTGAATGGAACTGACTTTGATTGACATTTTAAAAGATTGTGTAGACTGTTCTCTGTGTACTGGACAGTCAAGAGCAAGGGACCCAAGTTAAAGTCCAGACTGTGATGTATGGTGATGAGGAAAAAGCATGAACACATGATACAAGAGATGTAGAAAATAGATAATATATGGTATATTTGAAATATCATCCATCGTAAATTGTTGGTTAATTAAATATCCATGAAAAAAAGAAAAATCAGAACTAATTCAAAACATCTTTTGTAGTTCACTCGTTGAATAATTCAGGTGGGAGTAGGGATAGGAGAAAAGGTACTTTTATAAGCGACTTTCATGAATGGTAATGTCCTCATCCAGATGGTAAAATCCTGGGGAGAAAAAGGTGTATTGTGCAGGAGAAAAAAAGTTTATTGTGAGATGTTTTGATCATAATAAGTATGAGATGCTTATTAGTCATACAGACAGCTGGAAGGCAAATCAGGCACCCTATGAGCAACTAGAAAGACACATATAGCCATATAAGAGAGAAGACAGTCTTTAAATTAAAAATTAGATATAATCACAGTAATGGGGTAATTGTGCTGTTTAAACATATAAAATGTGCTGGCCACAAATACAAACATCCAGGCTTTCATGCATTCATTAGTGAACATTGATAGAAACTACATGCAAATATACATAATAAAATTAATGAAAAAAATATTTTCTAATGGTTTAAAGCTAGGAGAATGATTTTACTGAACTATTTGAATGATTTTTTCCTATATATTCACATCAATTAGGTAAGAGAAGATATTTTTTCTCAATATCAATTAAACATTAATATATTCCTATACCTGAATATTAAACTACTTTATAGTCAGTTCAAAATCCAATTTTGTTAAAATACAATTTTATCTATAAAACATACATATTAACAATAGAAGGATAATGAGACAATATGGTTTTACTAAAGAAGACACAATTGCCCATATTTTTCAAACTAACATTGATTTTTACTATAATTAAATGTTATATATATATATAACTAGAGGATCTCCTTTACTGATATAAACATGTTGCAGAAAATGAATGCTGAGCATTGCTGAGCTTGCTTATATTGTTACTACCTTGCTGACATTAATATCATTTAGAAAGACAAATAATTCTGTGGTTCCTAACTTTGGCTTCATCAAGCATGACACTGCCACAATGATTTGCTTCAGTATCATCAATGCTAAGGAACAATATCTTTCCCTTGATCTCCATAAAGTCAGATTTGATTTTCTGTCCCAAATTTCCCCATATTTGGATTCTCCATGGCAAATTTTCAAGTCTTTAACATTTAGGAGCTAGAGAACTCTAGTTAGTTACACAGACCATTATCTCCTTCCTTCCTGAAAACTAAAGTTCTAGTTTCAGTTACTTGCTTTGCTGACCTCTGACTGATACCTTAATGAATTGTAAACGCAGTCAAAATAACCAAAATAACTAGGGGCTCTTTGCAGAAAAATTCCAATAGGGAAGTGGAATTTCTGCTCACAAAATGTTTCTTTCACTAATTACCCTGACATATGAACTGTGAAATGAACATAGAGAAAATATTAGTAGCCTTCTGTAGAAATTCTGATTATCGTGTGAGCTGTTCTCCTTACATTTGATCTTTATGATAGATGTCATGAATTGACTAGATATTATTATGCAAATGAGATGTTCATATTCCACTTGAAATAACAGAGCACAGCTTGAAAATATGCATATATCATGTCAACAGTAACAACAATTTCTCTTCCTTTAGATAGTGTTTGATTTATTTTTTACAGTAATTTTCTTTGGCCTCTACTTGGAGCTTTGATCATGCCTCTCAATTCTGTGGCATGACAAGTGGCATAAATACAAAATGTCCAATTGAAAAAATATTTTCTTTAAATTAATCATTTATATGTGTTGACTAAAAGTGATAGAGTATATAAAATACATTTTTTCTTGGTAAAAACTCAAATTTCAATTAAAAGAGTATAATATTCATACTTTTATATGGGATATTTTATTTGTCTGTTAAAACTTAACAATCATTGGCCAGTTTCTACGTTATTGAAATAAAATAGAAAGGGATTTAATATTACAGTAGGATAAGAATGTTAACTATGAAACAGAGTAAGTTGATCAATCATTAAGCTTGTTAAGTATTAAAAGGAATTCCCCAGCTAGGCTGTAGAATCATTTCTTTGGAATGCATAGTTGGTGAAAGCAATTGTGCAGTTTGATATGAAAAAAGAAATAAGCTAGGAAATTCCCCAGAGTTCAGCACATATCTAGATATAGACCTTTGATTGTATTAATAAACATGTCCTCAGAAATATTGAAAAGTATTAGACAACTGAAAAAAAGACTAGAAACTAGACAATGATATTGAATTATATTGTTTAAAAAATTCATTGAATGGTGTGTAAAGTATATACCTGAATAGGAGTTACTGAGGATAAAATTTAAAGCAAAAAAATTGAATATGGAATCTTGAAATTTATATTTGCAAATGTTACTGCCTCCCCCATAAATTTCTTTCTTGGGAGGTGGGATAGAGTGATGCATTAAGTTGAAGTTTCATTGATGACTGACTGTATAATCCATTCTATATAACCAAAAAGAATGTGTTAAATTTCATCATTTATAAAAGAATGATTGCTATAATTTATAAGTTTACTTTTACTAAGTGATTAAAACGAAGCTTACTAAGTATACTTAATATTTTTAGTATAAGAAGCTTATAAATACTAACAAAATAAGGTAATTTTTTTAAAATTTCAACATATAATTTTCTCTTGTCAGTAAATCTTTCTCAACTTAAGTTTACACAGATTTATTCTTGAGAGTTGTTAATACTGGTGTGAATTACTTAATTTCAGTCCTTCACAAAAGTTTCCAACATTGGAAGAAGGTATTGACTAATTCATTACATAATGTTTATCAAATAAAATTAATGTACTCTTTCTTAGTCTGGTCTCTGATACAACATATTTCTAGTTGTATCTTTAACCAAAAAAAGTTAATTAGGTTTAATGAGGAAACCTAATTTCCCTCAATATCAGAAGGAATTTAGGACTTTTAATAATCAATTTAGGACTTTTTAAACAATGTAATTGAATTATACTCATTATTAAAGAGATACAAATAATTGTATTTGTGAGGGAAAGTTGTCTAATTAAAAACTACTTAAAAGGGCATTTAAAATAAAAATCTTGTATAAGTAAAGTTTCTTTACTATGACAGTCAGGAAAAAATGTATTATTTCCAATCACAATAAATGAGCTGAGATCTAGACTGCACAAGAACAATAAGATGAAGTTTGCTATTCTAGAATTCTTTGCGTATTCCTTACTACAGCTCATAGGTAAAATTGGCACAGTACCTTCCTTCAACTACTATAGAAGTACTCTCTTCTTATCTATTTTTATTACCCTATTTATAAAAAATCATCACAGTTTAGAACCTGCTGAGCTTGTATTCATTTAAATTCTTTTGCCAAGAGTTACTCAGCAAGAAGAGACTGGAAATGTCCTGGCCTATTCTCTCAGAAATTTGGTACCATCATTTATCTTCTCTCTATGACCTCACACAAGACAATGTGGCAATATATACAAGGGTCACTTGCAAAGAAGACCCAAGTGAGTTGGCAGCATTTGTCAATAGAAATAAGGCACAACGTTGGTACAACATAAAGCAAGCTCATGTAGTTGTGCTTGGGTAAATGATACAGAGTCGCGAAAGACTGTTGAAGTCATTGTTCACTCAACCTTTCCTCAGGATGCAAGTCACAACTGTTTCATCATCTCTCCTCCTCCTCCCAGTCTGCTTCTTTTCCTTCCATTCCCCCTTTCTCTCCTTCTCCTCCTTGCTCTGTACTTCCTCCTGTCCCACCTTTCTCTTATTATTTTTGTAATCATCATGCATAAAAATTGAGAATGAGGCTAAGGTTTCTTAAACTTCTTTTTCCTCAGAATATATGTCATTCATGTGTGATCTCTCAAGTTATACTTATTTATATACTTATAAAAACTCAGTTACATACAAATTTTATTTTCATCATTAACTAAATATAGGAGGAAATTTAGGGTGTTTGAGGTAGAAATGCACAGGAGATTTTTATTATTTTCCTTTTGGTCTACTGCTTTACAACCCATTATGAAAACTGTCCATGTATTGTTTGGAATTTACTTAATTTAAATACTAGCTGGTGACTCTGCATTATATTTAAATTATTTTGAAATGTTTTATTCTAAAGCCAAGTAAGAATTTTTGTATTTGCACAATAATCTTTAAACATCTCTGGTTTTGAAACATAAGTAAATAGGCAGTTGTATTAGCACAAGAAATAAACTCAAAAGTCTGAACTGTGCAAAAGTGGTAAGACTGAATAAATGTGACTCCTACCGTAAGAGTCTGGTAACCATGTACCTGGATGAAGTTCTGGACTTTCCAAGACCCATCCATTTTCTGAGGGCACTGCATCATCCATGTTACAAGGCTTCCATTTGAGGTTCCAAAAATCTGAGAAGTATATATAGAAAGTACATAAGCTCCATCAACACATTTTATAGTATAAAATCCCTAGTAGTAGAAACAGAAAAGTAAGGAGATATTTAAATGGAAATATGATGAACTACCATTTATTAGATATTACCTACAATCATATAGACATCATATTCCCATTTACAAATAGAATAACTGAAGCTTGAGTGTAAAAGAATAACCTGTCCAAGATGGCATACTAGTATGCAAGTAGTTCTTAGATCTGCTAGAAAGTCCTTGCACATAACTGCCAAAGTAAAGTGTTGATGATACAAATAGGGACATTTACTTTACTTCCAGTAGACCCTGTAATGCTACCTTAAATTCTAGAATTTGTTGAAGGGGTATATGTCTTTAAATGTGCTAAAAAGGAAAAGCTGTTTTCTGTGTTGCATTGTGAAAAATATTAACTTACTATTGGTACAACCAAAATGAACAAAATTATAAACCTCTTATGATAAGTCTATCCAAGCTAGGCATACCCCTCCCACTTTTGGAGGGTTCCAATCTTACAGAAATGAATTTAAGGGAGACTAAAGGATTTTTCCTTTGCTTGACTGCTAGAGTACAGCAAAGAAACAAACAGAAGAACTACTATGATGTTTGCATTAAAAGTTTTCCTGTATATTCAGTAATATTTTTTCACTAAATCAATATTCATAGCTATGGGATGCTAGCTACTCCAAGTGCTATTTCTTCAATTAAAACATTAGCATTCTTAACACATTTGGATGTACTTTGTAAAATAAACACCACAATGAAAAGATAAAATGACTCAATAATTGATTGGTAAATACCATGTAACTATGGAATAATTATATGCTCTGTGAATTATATAGTACTTATAGCTGACATTATTTAGGAAACATGAGAAATGAACTTGTAATTTGTACTTATCAGATTTCGATTCCTAACAGCCAGTTAAATATCCTATTATTATGTTAAAGTATCCTATCATTAAATACCTGGTCAATAACAATCATGCAATTAGTTAACATGCATCATACTCCAAAATACAGTTGTGTCATCAGGATGCCAAGAAACAATTTATGAACATGATGCATTCAGGAAAAAAGAAAGAAAAAAGAAAGAAAAGATATTTAAATATAGATTGTAATTCATGCATGCAGATGTCCACTAAGGGTTGTCATGGTTACAAAAGGAGCTTGGCTGACTGGCTCAGGTGTTTTTTCATTTCAGCATAGGCTGCTCAGAAAGGTCTTGGGGTCTTCCTTTCTTGTGATCTCTACCACAAACTATGTCACCAAATACCCATACAGTTGCTAATGCCAAAATCTCACTTCTTATTGTCTCTGCCAAGGAAATAGCCTTTTTTCTATTCACTAGAGGAGATTATTTGTCTATAAATAATTGTCTGTCTTTGTTACAGAGTGCTTCCTTTGAGCACTGTATTTGTAGTGTGTGGTACTTGGTAGACACACAATCAACTCCTTGGACATTGGTTGAGGAAGGAACATCTTAGTAGTACACATCATGTGAAAGCTCCTTTTGTAGACCTTGGGAAGTCTGATTTTCTTTCCATGTATCTTGTACACCAAGACACTGGGTTAATGAACCACGTGTTTTTCAAAGTGGAATTAAAACTCTGGATGAAGAACTAATCTTCATACTTGATTCAAGCCTGTGTCTGTTTTCCCATTTTCTGTTAAAAATTCTACCTTACAAGATCATACCCTGAATTGTTTACAGCTGTTTCTGACCATATACATTTATTTCCACAGACAACGACATTAATTGGTCTTTTGAAGACTGCACGTCTCCTTCGTCTTGTACGCGTAGCCAGGAAACTGGACCGATACTCAGAATATGGCGCTGCTGTTCTAATGCTCTTAATGTGCATATTTGCCCTGATTGCCCACTGGCTGGCTTGCATCTGGTATGCGATTGGGAATGTAGAGAGGCCATATCTGACTGACAAAATTGGATGGTTGGATTCCTTAGGACAACAAATTGGGAAACGTTACAATGACAGTGACTCAAGTTCTGGACCATCCATTAAAGACAAATACGTCACGGCACTTTATTTTACCTTCAGCAGTTTAACCAGTGTAGGATTTGGAAATGTGTCTCCTAACACCAATTCGGAGAAAATCTTTTCCATTTGTGTCATGTTGATTGGCTGTAAGTAGATTTCTCTTTTGCTATCTGTTAGGATAAATATTAGCACAAAATTGGTATTTCTAGAACATAGAGAATAAAGCAAACTATGGAAACTGTGGAGATAGTGGGATTACAGATGTAGATATGATATTCTATAAAGTATGATATTTCCTAGTGAAGTGAAGAAACAAAAAATTCTCTTCATACTCTTAGAACTAGCTTTAATATCAATATAAAATAAACCCATCACTTGATTTTCCCAGGATTAGTTCAGCCTCTTCAAGTCCTTGATGCAAAACAATATCACACTATAGTATCACATTGAGGGCTCTAGGGATGGCTCAGTGGTTAAGAACATTTGCTACTCTTGCTTAGGGATGATGCTCTGTTCTTCGCACTCACAACCTCCTCTACCTCTAGTTCCAACCTGATGCCCTCTTCTGGTCTCTGAAACTACAAGGCATTCACATGTAAAAATGAATTCACATTGGCACTCACATGTAAAAATAACAACAAATAACATTTGAAAAATTAATTTAAATACAGTATCACAAAATTGCCTTTAACCAAAACATATATTCAGGTGTATATGAAATCACTTCTAGGCTACCTATATTTCCTAACACTGCATAAATCTCACACGGAAGAATGAGAAAAAGTGTCTGTACATGTGAAATACAGACATAATTTTTTGAAAATATTTTTTGTTCATGGCTGGTTGAATTCTCAAATGTAAATGCAGAAGTCACCATTTCTTCATTCAAGAAGGCTTCTGTTTTGCTCTAGAATATCATGAGTATAAAACTGAAGTGATATGGGTTCTCATATTGCAGATATGAAAATTACAGTTTATTCATTGTTACATAAAAATGATTGTAATTTATTACTAACAGCTATTTTCTGTTACAAATTGAGATCAAGTTAAGTTGGAAAATAAAGTTCTAGATATAAATCTTTCTCTCATAGATATAAGCCATTACAATTATACCTCAATTGATTTCCTCTTTTATTGATTTTAAATTGCTTTTCTTTTGACATCATTCTAAGGTCAAAGTCATTACTTTATACTCTGTAGTAGCTTTATACAAAGTACATAATTTATTACATATACTATTTAGAGTAGAAGATTTTATGGCAAGATAGAGTTGACTTAATAATAATTTTGAAAATACATTGTAAAGAACTTAGTGATACCCTACATTATGGCAGGCAACAATAACAACTTCAAAAGGAGCATTGCCCTTGGATGGTGTACAAAGTTGAAAATAGATCTTGACAATTAATTCTCATGTATCACCTTATTAATTACTGAAATATGGTTAGATAAGACCTATTTATGAAACTTAAATAAGTTCTCTCAGTAATCTACTCTGCCAAAAATATAGTTTCTCTCAGTAATCTACTCTGCCAAAAATATAGTTTTTATTTCAATAACATTTTCATAATAAAATACATTTTTTAAAACCCTCAAGATCTTTTAATTCCACCACAGGCTTGGCTACAAACACAGAAGTAGCAATGCATGCAGATGGCAATGGAACTGCAGCCTATTAAAATATAGAAATACACATTCAAGGTACTTTTAGTCTGTAATTATAACCATAGAGGGGCTGGGGAGATGACTCAGGCAGTAAAAGTTTTGCCTTGCAAGCTTGACAAGTCCTCAGCACCCACATAGAAGCCCGGTGCAGCAGTGCACACCTGTAACCCCGGGAGCAGCAAAGCAGAGATAGGAGGATCCAGAAGACTTGCTGGCCAGCAAGTGGGTTTGTCGAGCTCCAGGTCCAGTGATAGACTTGGAAAATATAGTGGAATGGCTAGAGAGATGGCTCAGCAAGTAAAGGTACCAAATGACAAACTTGGGGTACACGCGTGTGCGCGCGCGCACACACACACACACACACACACACACAAAAAAAAACATACACACTTGCATAATGCTCAAAATCAATGCATAAAATGCATTAAGATATATATCAATTGGAAAGCAATTGAAGAAAACACGGAACATCACCTCCATACGTACATCTATACATACAAACATACACACAAACTCACTCAAAGCAACAGCAAAAGAATATATCACAATACATTTCACAGTGTTAAAGATTTTAGTTGCATTAATATAAAACAAGGCAAAGAAACGTATCTGCTCTTGATTAAATATTTATATCCGTGAAATAAATACAAATATATCTACTTAAGAAGAGTACCTATAAATATTTAGAAACAATAATTCAAGGAACTTACAAAAATTACAACCAATTATCCTGTTCACTGCTTAGAAGCCCTCAGCACTGTAATATCTGTTATATGGATCGTTTTACTGAAAACACATGCTAGTTCTTATTTAGCCTACACACAATATCTAATATCAGAAGAATAGTGACAGCTCCTCTTACCTATTCCCCCTCCTTCCCTTCTTTTTTAATTTTCTTTGTGCCCTTGCCTCCTTTTCTTTATTTCCCTCCTTCCTTCTTTTGTTCTTTCCTTACGCATTTCTTATCTATTCATAACTATAACTCTAGGTTACTTTTACTGGTCCTTTAAAAAATATCTGCGATTCCAACAGATAAATTTGATCTTCTAAGAGAAGACACTCTTCAAATTGGATAGAGAAAAAGTCAATTCACATTCCACGTGTATCATTAATTCAAATAGAAGACCCATTTTTATAAGCTTTGATCAAATGAGATGGGCAAAGCTTGATGTCACACAGAAAAAATTTTTAAGCACTGCTTGAGAGTTCTGTCATGACCTATGATGTCATTAATAAGGGGAAAGGTAAAATTGAGACTTGAAAGATAACAATTATAACAGTGCTTATGAAACGTTCTTAGCCTTTAGGCATAATGATATATTTTTTCCTGGTATCTCCCATTAAATGGAATTATATGCAAAAATTAACTGGTTCTTGTGATTTGCAATATTTACACACTAAGCAGGTTATATCATAGCAAAACAGGGCCGTTCAACATAAAAATAAATGCAAAACCAAAATTTTAATGTAAAAATCATCTGTGTGTTTATTATAACCAGAAAGATTATCAGGGTGAAATTTCAGCTTCCTTAAGTTATTTATTGTAAAAGAAAAATGAAGCCACATTGTAGACAAAGAGGAACTTATATACATATTACAGCATTATCATGCAAGGAAAAAAAGAAGCCTGAACTATTTAAAGGGAGGCAAAGGTTAGTGCACTTCCAATCCCTGCACTCAGGACTGACAACAGGAAGCACACAAACTGGAGACCAGCACGGGCTAATAATAAGTGCCTGTTTAAAACTGTCTCAGTAAATGCAAATAACTGCAGCATCTGTAGACAGTTTTAAATGCCATTCTCACTAAATTCCTGATTGGTACACAGAACAATGATTGGATAATTCATTTTAATAGTGTGCATAACTAAAAAAATGAAAGAACACTGAACAAATATGAAGATGGGTGTAAAACAAAGCCATAGAACAGGAACTAACACAGCCCTAACAAAGCTTTATAAGCAAGCCTCCAACCTTACCTTTGGGCTAGAGCTCAGAAGTAGAGCACAAAAATCAGCCTGATCTTCATGTTCTCCATCTAGAAGAACACAGGAACAGTATCTAACTGAAAAAAGTATTTTGGACAAGACAATGAAGAACAGGAAAAAAAATAAATTAGACAGCAGAGATTACATCAAATTCAATGGCAAAGAAAACAATCTAGTAAAGATTAATCTAGTAAAGATACACATATACCTCTGAAAAGGGTTTACTTGCTATTCAGAGTATAGGAGGAACTCTAAGATCTCAAACAAAAGTCAACACAATTTAAAAGAAACAATAGGCTTTAATGGACATTTATCAAAACATGACACATAAATGACCAAGTTCAGCAAAGTGCTCAGCATCTCTAATCCCCATGGAAACACACATTAAAAATAGAATACCTCTTTCCACTCTAGCAAGAACGTCTATTGTCAAAAATACAAAAAAAAAATGCTACAAGAAAAAGCCCTTAAACACTGCTGGTGGGAACATAAATTAATGCACCTATTATGAAAAAAATAAAAGTACAGTATGATGATATACCAATTTCACTACTGGGATTATACACAACGGAAATGGAATAAGTCAGAAAGATGTCTTTATATCCTATCTTTACTCCAACACAATTCATAATAGTTAACAAATTGGAAATAACCTCTGTGCCCACTAATGGAAAGACTGACAAAAATGTGTTACACATTCATATGGATGGTAGCAACAAGAAAGGGGAGCGTATAGGAGGAAGTTAGTAATAGAATGGCAAATAATGGGTAATAACATAGTTGAATAGGAATAAGAAATTCTGATGTGCTATTAATATGACCATAGATAGTAACTATTTAAATGATTTTTACTGTTTTACCATTTAAAATGAGAAACATTTAAATACATACATTATCAAAATGTTATATGATACCCCATCAATATATAGATTTATGTTTCTATATTTCACTCACAAACACACTTAAATTTGAAATAATAATGAAGAAGAGTGTAGAACTTTGAAACTATGGAGATTGCTGAATGGCTAAAGTACTTGCTGTGCAAGACTGGTTGGTTGGTTGGTTGGTTGGTTGGTTGGTTGGTTGGTTGGTTGGTTGGTTGTTTTTAATCTCCAACAACCACATAAAAATATTTGGGCATGGTGACAAAGTTTCTCTAACCCCTAACTGGGAATAGAGACAGGAGGATTCCTAGAGCTTGAAGGCCACACAGTTCACTGACAAGATACAAGTTCAGTGACAGATCTTGCCTCAAAAAATAAGACATGGAAAACTGAGTGAAGAAAATAACCCAAGTCAGACGTCATGCTGTGGGCTCAACACATGCCTGCATGGCAAGTGTACATGTATATACATATACACACATATTAATATAGCTATATAACACACAGAGAAAGATGGTCACATGAAAAAAGTAAAAAAGAAAGAACAGTCAAATATTTTTAAAAGAAACAGTATAGCACTATGTTATTGGTTGTTTTTTACTCTTTCTCA